CTATGTCGCTTTTGGTCGATCAATTTAATGTACCGATTAGTCGGCCGACGTCCCTGTTAAACTCCCATAAGCGTCAGTGCAACAATCGGCCGATTAGTCGGAAACGAAATCGGCCGATCATACCGACGCGAACCGACTTAATCGTGGGGAAAACCGGGAGGATTTTTTATGGGGATGACATTAATCCTAGCTCTGAAGTTCAGGTTAGGAAAAAAGTTAGGTTAAAACAAAACGTCAGCTATTGTTGGTAAACAAACCGACAGCATTGTTGACAGCATTCCCCCATGCACTCAAAAATATAACTACCCACAAATCTAAAAAACTTACTACCATAGAGGTAACTCTAAGACCACTGGGTCCCGAAGAAAATCATTATTATTTTTGGCTCACTCAGTACCAGAACAACGGTCCCAAGCAGTCCCAAGCTATTTCACTCACCCCTGCATGTTCTGCATGAATCCACACACCCCTGATGTTATCTGTCAAACTTTCATAGCGAATCAAAACAAACATAGTGTAGTAATAGAATTTCAAGTAGAATAGGGTACGTTAATCGTTTGCTTGGGACCAATAGGCTACTAAAGTGGTGAGCCAATTTAAAATCGTTAGTTTCCTATTGATTGTTGTTACTACTGCGTGCACTTCCATTCTATTACCGAGAACCATGATTTTTCGATAAATTCCTTCCACGCTATTGGTCCTGACCTTGGGGTCCATGGTTCTACCATAGAGGTAACTCTAAGACCACTGGGTCCCGAAGAAAATCATTATTATTTTTGGCTCACTCAGTACCAGAACAACGGTCCCAAGCAGTCCCAAGCTATTTCACTCACCCCTGCATGTTCTGCATGAATCCACACACCCCTGATGTTATCTGTCAAACTTTCATAGCGAATCAAAACAAAAATAGTGTAGTAATAGAATTTCAACTAGAATAGGGTACGTTAATCGTTTGCTTGGGACCAATAGGCTACTAAAGTGGTGAGCCAATTTAAAATCGTTAGTTTCGTATTGATTGTTGGTTCTACCACAGACAAACAGACGTAACACTTCATTGTGTATCTTCGTTCACGCATTTAACGGTGGATTTGAATATTATCAGTTCCGCGAAGTACTCGCCGCAGCGCTGGCATCGGATCATTTTGACGTTTCTATACATTCTATAGAACTTTTATGCAATATTGTTTGCGAGCTAGCGAGCAAGCTTGTTTTCCGCGAGAAGCCCGAGAGATGTCGTTACTGAGGTCCTATGTTTTGAGATACTATGTTTTAAAGAAAAGCTTTTTCAAAGAGTTACGTCTGTTTGTCTGTGGTTCTACTGTGATCGGTCAAAAGTTCTTGGTAAACAAAAAAGTCAGCTGATCGTAATTGTATCGTGGACAGCCTTAATGTAATATTTCAGGAGGAACAGTCAACCTATCGACACCACCCCTAGTCTCCTCTCGATACTTCTTTATCTTCCCTGACTAGCCCTCGCTTTCCTAGCCCCATACTTGTCTAATTTAAGTCGGTAGATGTGTAGATACTGCAAACTGCATTCTAAAGCTAATGATCTTAAGGAAAATAAACTTTAAAAAAAAGTTGCTCTAGACCCCCCAACCGATTATTTTCAATGAGATCCGCAAATGATAGGGAAAGGCCTCTATTGCATGAGCCAAAATATCAGGCATGTCGATTTTTTTTTAAATTAAGTTCTCTTTAAAACACACCGTGGGTGAACTTTGAGATAGATATGAACAAAAAATTGTTTTCCCATAGTGATCTCCATATAAACTTTATAAGGTTTGTGCCACGTCAATTTCTTAATAAATTAGTTCAAACTTTGGGAGGCTAATCAGGATCCAATTTGGAACCGTTTGAGCATCGTGGAGTGAAAAATTGCATCAGTCTAGTGCACATGTTTTACTTCTAAGTTATAAGAAGAGGTTGCAACTGAGTATGAGTGACACTCTGTGATCTGTGGGTGACTTTAACTTTTAGTTTGGGGACGACCTCTCACGTCAATGTTATGATTTCTAAAATCTCATTTCGGGGCAAGTCACGAATAACCCTAGAGTGTTAAAGTAACTATAAAACAACTTCTAGTTTAATGACACATTACCAATGAACCTTCACATTATAAAGTAAAAATAATAAAATATATTATAATAATAAAATTAACATCACATCAAAGAGGACACTGCAACCAAGCTGAAAATATCGTTCATTTTAATGGCCAATAAAGGAAAAAAATGGAAGTCAGGCAGAAAAAGTACTGAAATTAGATGGAATTGAGCTACAAATGAGCTCGATGTAAATTTACATACCTGCATGAATCGTTTTAACATTACGAAAGTGTTTCCAGGCCCAAAATGTCCTCAATACACTAGGAAGGTTAAGTTACTCGCACTGTTCATTCTTTCCAAGAGGCAAGACAGCTGTACTCAGAGTAAATATTTCTACAAAGGGTAAATATTTCTACAGAGAGTGAATTTGAGTAACTCATAGTTGCTCAAACCTGATCAAAGTAACCTTACCATTGATAACAAATCAAAACTTTGAAAAAAAATTTAATCAAGTGTCATCGACCGAAGTTTTCATTGGGTTTTATATCTTTCATATCTTATAAATTAATGCACAGTAATCTTTTAAATTTGTCGAACCTCTTAACGGAATCCCTTTATGAAGAGCTTTGGTGTGTTGGGAAATATACGTATCTGTCAAAAGATAAGCAATTATAACGGAATTTAAAGGAAATAAACTAACACACTCAAAGCTCTTCATAATGGCCAGTAATTCATTTACAGGTTGGAACATATTTCTGTTTATCAACGGAACGGCCCTTCACACCACGATCATTAAAAAATCCCCATACATAGAGGCGCTAATTTGGCAGGTTTTCTATTCAATATGTTGATTATAATAGAGCCGCCACGCACATATTACCACTCCAGATTAGAATTATTGCACCCGATATTCACCCCTAATCAAAAACTGCCCCTACATTTTGTGTGTGTGGAATGGGATATTGATCGAAAATGAGAATGATATTCTGAATAAAATTCTTTTTAAATAAAACAAGATCCATGCACGTTTGCAGAAATGAGCATCGTTATTGAATACATTTTCGTTGATCAAAACAATATGAAATGTTTATTTCAATTCATCTCATTACTGGAGAAGTAATACATTCCTATATGTATTTTCAATTTACTGTTCCTCTAGCTCCCCTTGGAGATGGCTGAGAAAGCTACAGGTAACAATTTCTACCACTGTCATTCATTCCCAGGAAGTGCTAGAAGAACCTGAGATCCGAGCTGCATTGTAAACATTAAATTTTGCAAACAATTGTTAAGTGATTTCTAAGTTGACATCCACTTTAGAGCCATTTTAATAATATCTTATAAGTAAACCTAAGAAAAGAAGGTGATTTGCGATGATTTTCAATGCTGCTTTAACCCGCCTTTTTGAATGTCCAATGTTTAATACTTGCAGCTGCACTTTCTGCTATTTTTCATCAGAAATTATCAATAATTTAGAAATAACTGAGCAGCATTTAAAACAAGACCTTTCGTCAATTGATCTGCTGATATATCGTTAACCAATCATTATGGTTCAGTACGGAACGGAGCTTCTGGAGCGACTAATGAATCACAATTATGTTGCTATTAGGTGAAAATAATTATCCGTTCAAAATTACAGTCACTGCACTGTCAGTTAAGGATTGAACTGAAAGCTCAACTTGCTGCGAGTTATGAAGATTGTGCAACACAAGTTTCTCAGAGTTACTCAAAATTAACTCGAAAAGCATCCGTGAGCAAGAGCTGACTCGTTTCTTGGTTCTTGCAGATTGTTCAATTTGAAAATTAATTAGAAAATAATGCCCCCCCATACAATTGGGAAAAGTTCTTTGACATTTTCCTTAAAATACATCTTTCCGATTTCTGTTCGTATTCTACATCGCATCCACAGTTCAATTAACAATTAACACCTGCGTCCATCCGGCAACGTGCGAATTTACGTCGACAGTTATTGTTATCACACCTGTAGGTACGGGAAGGCAAACGTCAGCCAGCAAAAGTTTCCCATTCAAAATGAAATGAAATGGTTCTTTCTACAATTTTCAACTCCGGCCGAGTGAAATGGCGCAAAGCGTTTCACCAGCAATCACATTGCACCACTTTGGAACACCACGTGAGCTGTTAATTTCACGTGATGCTCTTTGAATGCAAATTTTCCAATAACCAATGGAGGTGATTTTCGTGGGGGTATTTTTCAACCCGAAGGGGTGCCATATTTTACAAGGCTTTCCCTCGTCAGTCGGTAACAGGACCAGTGCCGAGATTTATTTGCTCCAAGCTGTAACTTTCACACCTCACTATTCCACTTTAGTGCTAGACAGGGATGGATCGCTCTTTTGGGATTTTCTCGTTACTATTTAATGTAGAATGCTTACGTTAAATCCTTCTGAATGTTCAGTAAACCCATCTTGAAATAGATAGTTTAGTGCTAATAATCTCTCTATCAAAATTCAAAATATGCAGAAGGTACACTTGAGAGCGCTCTACATTCTACATTCAATTGGATTTAACGTTAGCATTTTATATTAAAAAGTAATGAAAAAGTCCCAAAAAAGCGATCCATCACTGGTGCTAGAAGTCAGTTCGAGAAAAGTTCAAGTGACGTAGGGCGACAAAATTACTCAATCACATCACGTGGCTCGCTGCGAAAGATCAAAATAAATGATGTATAGGTCAGCTTGGAGCATAAATGAAAAGCTACTTAAGCGCAGACGAAAATATGGACATGAGACGTTGTTCAACCGATTTCGAAAGCCCACCGTTGATCCGCTGTTGAAATGAAAATAATGTCAACTATTTTTCATTACTTTATTCATCGTCTTCAAATTGCATTTTTATCGTACACAAACCTACTTCTTCGTCCTGAGTTTTACATTCATTCGTTCATTACCAGGTCAATCCCACAGTTCAACCCCCTCTTTATTGAACAGGTTTTTTTTATCAATAGTATGCAGCATAGTATCCTGCCGGCGCTACGACCGGTACCAGCGGGGTTGCCTCGTATTCCGTTATCCTGCTGATGCCCGCGGATTGGGAGGAAAATTCCGCCGCGTAGGTTGGATAGGCAAATTGAACGGGGGCTGCTACTGGTGCTGCTGCTACATAATTGGCGGTGGCGGCGGCGGGGGAGTACGCGATAGCGCTGGCCGGTGCCAGGAACGTCGCGACCGGTGTGGCTGAGACGTACGCTAGCAGGCTGGTGAGGATCAGCTGAAAACGGTGGGGAAAAATGTCGATTGAAATTAGTAAACCGGAAGAGGGCGGACGTTGGGCCGTGGGAAATCTTATCTGGAGTTGGATAATTTGACTGTGCGAGGCGAGGTTTCATGTATAATTATGACATTGTATTACAGAAATGAATTTCTCGTAGGTGTTTATGATAATGTGCTGCTGCTTTCTACTATTACGTTCACATTGGAAGTTAGGCTTGTCGTCTAATTAGTATTATTTTAGAATTTACGAGTAACTTTAATTGAGAACTTATATAGTTGATGATGCTTAACGTCAAATATCATATTTAAAGTGGTCATTTTTATAGATAGATGATGAGTTGAACGTATAGAGTTGATAGTTGCCTCAACAGGGAAGTTTGATAAAGGAGATGCTCGTTTTCTACTCTCTATATACAATTTTCGAACTGCCGTACTCTAACGGAACTATCAACTCTATACTTTCATCTCCTCATCGATCGTATAAAATGACCACTTTATGTCTGATATTAGACGTTAAGCATCACCAACTATGTAAATCGTTAACTTCACGCCTAAAGTAATACAAACATGATTAGTAAAAGTGAGATCTTATGTTTCTTAAGCTTGAGCTTCTTCGAAGTTTCGTAGATGAACTAGACCATGGCTAAAAATCTCCTAAAATAAGTTAAAAAATCTTCTATGTTTTTAAACATCTCACAATTTGACTAAACTTTCTTGTCAGTTTAAAAGTTACTTCAAACAACCTGGAAGATATTTGTTTTTCATGAGAGCAGTTGAGCCAAAAGCTGGTTGGTCATCCTGAAGTCCAATAAACTGCATCGATGTACCTATCGGATCGATGTCACTCTCATCAGTTTCAAAAATAGATCCTTGATGGACACAAGACACGCAGGAGTGTGCAAACCACGTTCCAATCTGCCTGCATATAACCGCATACTGGTGACATTGCTCTAACGGAAACCTTATGTAGAGGATGTATGTTCGCATCCTTTTATTCCACCTCATCGGCCAACCGACCGACGACAGGCACGCGTTCCACTATCATTGACCTTGTGTACCTATGACACGGGATACAACGCTTGGATACTTACATATTTCAACATTGTTTCCACAAACTGTCACAAACAATCGCGATAGATATATACTTCAATACAGGTTGAATGCTTCTGAACTATTACTGCGACCCGCTGGGAGAATCAAAGCTTTTATACTTGCACGCACCGAGCGATGTTCTAAGTTCTAATTTCTCCAGAACCCGTACCGAGATTCCTCAAACTGGATCAGGACGGCCCTCGGAGGGTCTATTATCGGCATACCTTGTACATCTGCGTGCGGCTGTCAGATTGCTTGCAGACGGTGGAAAATTGCTTCTTTGATGATCACATTAAAACGATAGCGTAGAGAATGTTGCTCAACTGCTCAATTCTGGAAGACAAACTCTAACTCTATTATCATTCTTGGAAATCTCTATTGGCGGATGCAGTCCTAGGAGGTAATGCAGAGCGCCGGCTAATATGGTAGCAGAATCATATTTCATTGCCATGTTGTGTCATGGAATGGGGAGAGCACACGGCACGACAGGGATGGATGGGTTCTCACACATGTAATCACAGAGCTGCGACGACCGGCATCGTGCAGAGCTGCGTGATTAATTACTGCACGGTGGGAGAGAATCGTGTTGTTCCCGGCTTTTGTTAGAACATATTCTGAATCGTAATTTCAAAATTTCATCATAACGTTTTATTGAAAAATCCCTCTACGAACCACGAGCGCCCAATGGTTCAGAATGGGAATTTGCCAGGGTTACTTCCGTTCATTTCGCATAAAATAATGGATTCGTAAGATACTTACCTTACCAATCAGGCTAAGGCCTTGTTGTCCTCTGCTGTCCGAATAAGTCGTCTCCACTCTACTCGATCCATGGCCACAGTTGGCCAGCCTCGTAGTCTGCTAAGGTTCCGCAGGTCACCTTCTACTTGGTCGATCCACCTTGCCCGCTGCGCGCCTCCTCTTCTTGTTCCTGTTGGGTCGCTTTCGAGAACCATTTTCACTGGGTCTTACGACGTGCCCAGCCCACCGTAGTCGCCCAATTTTTGCAATGTGGACGATGGATGGTTCTCCCAGCAGCTGGTGCAATTCGTACGCAACACCTTCCGTTCGAAAACACCAAGGGCGCTTTGGTCCTCCACGAGCATAGTCCAGGTCTCGTGGCCGTATAGGACCACCGGTCTAATCAGCGTCTTGTAGACAGTCAACTTCGTGCGGTGGCGAATTTTATTCGACCGGAGCGCTCTCCGGAGTCCAAAGTAGGCACGATTTCCTGCCATAATGCGTCTTTTAATTTCTCTGCTGGTATCATTTTTGGCGGTCACTAGTGACCCCAAATACATGAACTCATCGATCACCTCGATTTCGTCACCGTCAATCTGAACTCGGGGTGGGAGGCTAACATTGTCTTCCCTAGAACCAACAATCAATACGAAAATAACGATTTTAAATTGGCTCACTACTTGACTAGCCTATTGGTCCCAAGCAAACGATTAACGTATCCCATTCTAGTCGAAATTCTAGTACTACGCAATGTTTGTTTTGCAAGTTTGACAGATAAAATGAGGGGTTATTGGTTTTTCCTATGTTTCGAGGGGTGAATCGATTAGCTTGGGACCGAAGATAGTACCAGAGCTGAGCCAAAAAGTTGAGCTCGTTTCTTCGGGACCTTCTGGTCTTATGCTAGAACCTCTTCCTTTCATGTATTTTGTCTTTGATGCGTTGATGGCAAGTCCAATCCGTCTAGCTTCAGCCTTCAGTCTGATGTACGCTTCCGCCATCATCTCAAATTTCCGTGCCATAATGTATAAGACCACTTTTCGGCCCCGGAACCGCTGTGTCCCAGAAGGAGAACAGCCAAGACCCCAAGCTACTGGTCTAGAGCCGACGGTAGCTTCCAGGGTGGGCACACAAAGCCACAAAGGTTCCGGGTCTCAGGGCGTTTGGGCGAGGGAGACCTTTCGGATGTGAGGGGACCTAGAAAAATGCGAATTTGGTTACCTTACGCTTTATTCGGCCAGTGATGGTAGTGGGGGCGGTGCAGAAATCGGGTGATGGTTAGATCTCGGCCCAACGTGGCTGAAGAATACCGAGGTTGGCAGCTCGGGCGGGATGACGGGCGGTAGTGCTGCTCTAGACGGTGATCGGGCGGTCGCCAGGAAGGGAAGCGATTCTTGCAGCGTTGGTGGCAGTGATGGATGCGACGATGGTAGCAGCTATGGACCCAGCGCTCAACTGCGCTTGTTCACTATTCGGCGTCGTCGACCGCCGACGCTGTACCACGAGTGATGATAGCCTGGTGGATAGCGGACCAGCAGGGCGTGTTCTTGAACCGCCGGGAAGCCTGGCTACGGCGATGTGACCTTGGTTGTGGGGTCGCCCGGAACCAGCAGAGGCCGACGCGGCCACACTGGTCGAATTGCCCCTGGAACTAACAGCCCGCGCTTTCACGGCAACGAGAGGCCAATTCTTGCTAGGCGCTTCGGTGACGACCCGACAAGCACAGTTGCTGAATCACTTTCGGTCCAATAACCCGGACCCGGAGATGATTAGACGGCCGTACTGATACCGGACACTTCACAAACCGCGTGGGTCGAAACGGGGGTTTTGATCCCGAAAACGTCTGGTTTTTCGCCAAATTTCATTCGTCCTCGGCAGAGGCTCGTCACTTACTGACTCGTCGCTCAGTCGGGATCTCTCTCCTCCGTTCTGCTTCGGCCAGTCGTTTGCGATCCTCTCGCCCACGATCGTAGGTAGCGTAGAGCACTATCAGCTACCTACTGCTATCAGACGGCACACGCGATCCACACCGTCGGGCGTTGATCGCCCCCACTTCAAATCGACCGTTAGCTACACTAACAATTTTATTTACCCTACTCCCCACATCTAATGATGGAAAACAAAATGTTACCCGCCGGTAACAAATGTCAATGTCATCGGCGAAGCCAAGGAGCTGAATGGACTTCCTGAAGATCGTACCACTCGTGTCTATCCCAGCTCTTCTGATCACACCTTCTAACGCGATGTTGAACAGCAGACAAGAAAGTCCATCACCCTGCCGTAACCCCCTTCGAGATTCAAAGAGACTCGAGAGTGTCCCCGATACTCGAACAACGCACATCACTCGATCCATCGTCGCCTTGACCAATCGCGTCAGTTTATCCGGAAATCCGTACTCGTGCATAATCTGCCATAGCTGATCTCGATCGATTGTGTCGTATGCGGATTTGAAATCGATTAACAAATGATGTGTGGGCACGTTGTATTCGCAGAACCCACCGAATCGTGAAAATTTGGTCCGTGGGCACCCTTGAATCCCGCCTGGTATTGCCCCACGAACTCTCTTGCAAATGGTGACAGGCGGAGGCATAGAATTTAGGAGAGTACCTTGTAGGCGGCGCTCAGCAGTGTAATCGCGCGGTAGTTGCAGCAATCCAACTTGTCGCCCTTTTTGTAGATTGGGAAACGACACCTTCCATCCACTCCTCCGGTAATATCTCCTCCTCCCAAATCTTGGAAATTACCCAGTGCAGCGCTCTAGCCAGTGCTTCACCACCGTATTTTAATAGCTCACTTGGTAGTTGATCTACACCAGTTGCTTTGTTGTTCTTCAGCCGACCGATCTCCTCCTCAACTTCTTGAAGATCAGGGGCCGGTAGCCTGTCGTCTTCTGCGCGTGCTCCAAGGTCTGATGCCGTGCCACCTTCGTTTTTTGCTGCTTCACCGTTGATGTGCTCGTCATAGTACTGCTTCCACCTCTCCATCACCTCACACTCGTTCGTGAGAAGGTTACCGTCCAAGTCCTTACATGTGCGGCTTGCGGCACGTAGCCTTTGCGCGAACTATTTAGCTTCTCATAGAACTTTCGTGTGTCGTTTACGCGGTACAGATTTTCCATCGCCTCGCGATCTCGGTCTTCCTACTGACGCTTCCTCCTTCGGAAAACCGAGTTTTGTCTGTTCCACGCTTGTCTGTATCGCTCCACATTCAATCTCGTGCAGTGTTGCAGCATTCTCGCCCGTGCTGCATTCTTCTCCTCTACTAACAGTTTGCATTCGCCGTCAAACCAGTCATTTCTTCGGCCGGGATTGCAGTACCTAGTGCCGCTGCAGCAGTACTACCTATGGCGGAACGGATATCCCTCCATCTGTCTTCAAGAGAAGCTGCGCCAAGCTGCTCTTCCGTGGGTAGTGCAACTTCCAGCTGCTGCGCGTAGTCCTGGGCAACTCCGGCGTCCCGTAGTTGCTCAATGTTGGGTCGCGGCGTTCGACTTCGACGGGTGTTATGCACCGTCGAGAGTTTTGAGCGTATGCATACTGCAACTAGGTAGTGGTCCGAATCTATCTTCGCACTGCAGTACGTGCGGACGTTGATAATGTCGGAGAAGAATTTCCCATCGATTAGAACGTGATCGATTTGGTTATCTGCGTGTTGGTCAGGTGATCTCAGGAGGCTTTGTGGATATCCTTGCGGGGAAAAAAGGTATGTACTTCAAACTAACATACCCCGAAAGGCTGCAAAGTTCACGCATCGTTGGCCGTTGTCGTTCGATACGGCATGCAGGCTATTTGGCCCGATTGCCGGTCTATACATTGCCTCCCGTCCTACCTGAGCGTTCATGTCGCCGATGACGATTTTGACGTCCCGTTGCGAACAGCCGTCGTACACCTGCTCCAGCTGCGCATAGAACGCTTCTTTCGCGTCGTCGGGTCTCCCTTCGTGTGGGCAGTGCACGTTGATGATGCTGTAGTTGAAGAAACGGCCCTTAATCCTCAACTTGCACATCCTCGCGTTGATCGGCTGCCAACCAATCACACGTTGGCGCATTTTACCCAGCACTACAAAGCCGGTTCCTAGCTTGTTGATGATGCCACAGCTCTCGATGCCCGCTTTTCCATACCTTTTGTTCCGTCCAGCATAGTTCCTGCAGTGCTACGACTTCGAAGTTGCGTGGTTGAAGTTCGTCATAGATTATTATTATTATTATTATTATTTAATTTTATTAGGGAGGCTTTCAGCCTTGGGCTGGTTCGCCTCCAATAGTCATAGATTAACCTATCGCAGCCTGGGAAGCCGAGCGATTTGCAGTTCCATGTACCGAGTTTCCAA